CCAAAAAGGACGGTCCTTCACATTCTGTTTGGTGGAATGCCCCCTTGGTTGATGAAGGTCCCAAGAAGAGGATTCGGATTGGCACTCCTACCAAGAGCTCCACGCAGACTCAGGGAGCGACAGGCACTATGTCTCGAGGGCAGATCATGGAGCAGATTGCGGCCATGACGGAACAGCTACAGGCTCTTCAATCCCTGCTCCAATCCCCGGAGTTGCAAGCGCAGGAAGAACAGATGGAAGAGGATATTGCGGCGTCCTCCCTTTTCGAAGATGATGGGTTCCCCGGTCAGCCTTGACTAGGGACTCACCGCGCAGATATGAATGGAGGCTCCTTTCCTCAGGGGCTGGTTTCCCGCTTATTGTATTGTATTTTCTCCTTGGTTGGAGGTATGACAAGTGAAGTTTTCCTTGGTACATGGAATCTCAACAGCCTCTCGGACAAGCTCAATATGGTTCTCAGCATGGGGTTTTCCATCCTTGCTTTACAAGAAACCCGGATTGACTCTCGCAAAGCTCAATTGTTTGCTAACTCGGCCGACTCTTCAGGTTACCAACTCCTGTTTGGCAAGTGCCCGGTTTGGAAAAAGAAAGGCTGTGGCAAAGTTGGTCTGCATCACAAGCAGTGCCCTGGAGTAGCTATCGCTATCAAGAAGGAGATTCCGGCCCACGTGGGCCCGTCACCTGCAAGGATGGAGTACTGGCACGAGCAGGGAAGATTCCTGGCTGTCAACTTCTTCGACGGTACCACTTGGAGGACGCTTTGGAATGTTTATGCTCCTGATGACCCGCAGAAGAACTTCCAGTTCCTGCGGGACCTCGCCGCCGATGCGCAGGAGGTCCAACCTCACTCCATTGCTGGAGACTTCAATAGTCCCCTGCAGTGGGGGACGGACATGGACATTCTCTTCGAGGACTTGTACTCCAAGTTGACGGACATGCTTGGTCCCGATCCTTACACCTTTCAGAGAGCTCAATCCAAGACAAAGATTGATGACATTATTTGTCACAAAGACGTTCGAATGGAATTCGGCCCTCCAATCGCGTTTTTCCCCTACGACAATGGGCACGCCATCATCTCGACCAAGCTCAATTGGAACGCCGAGGTGCATCAATACTTGCAGATTGAAGGATATCGCATCAACGAGCAGTGTGGAAACCACGCCGAAGTATGGGATGAGTTGCAAGATGAATGGTGTGTGGCTTATGAGAAATTTGATGTGGATATGTGCTGGTCCATCTTCGCCTCAACTATGTTTCGTTTCTGGAACGGCCACACCAACTTCAAGCGAGTCCCTGGCTTGGGAGTCAAAATGCATTGGGAAAACCACCAGAAAGCGATTTTTCACAGGAAGCTTATTGCACAATCCAGTGAAGCACAGGAGCACGCGGAAATCCGGGAAGCCCTTCTTGAGCTGGGTCAACCCTCACTTGACAAACTTCAGGCTTGGAAGCACAGAATGCAGCAGCCCGGCGACAAGTCCCAGAAGAGTAAATGGATTGGAGACGTTTGCAAATGGGTCAGGGCCCCGACCCGCAAGCCCCCCCCTTTCATCAAAGCGAACGATGGATGGACCAAGTCCCCTCAAGAGACAGTGGATGTCATCCGCGACTTCTTTGCTTCAGTTTACCAGCATGATGACCAAATGTCCTGGGATGTAGGCAACCCCAACCATGAAGTCCCTGCAGATATGTGGAATGTGAAACACCTCAATCGGATCCTCAGAAACGGGAAAGGTATCTCGTCGCCGGGGCTTGGTGGTTGGACCTACGCGCATTTCAAAAAGCTTCCGCCAAGGGGCGTGGATTTCCTGCACAGTCTTTTTATGCTTTGCGTTATTTGCGGAAGGGTTCCCAAGCACTGGCTTAATGCTAAACTTGTGGTTATTCCGAAAGGTGAAGCTGGCTTTGATCTCGATGCCATGAGACCCATAACTATCGAAGTCACGGCTCTTCGCATTTTCCACAAGTGGCTTTTGAAGTGTGGTGAAATTACCTTCGATAACCTCCCTGAGAACATCATTGGGGGTGTACCTCAGCGCAGTGGCTACCAGGCTTGGCTGCATGCCTCTCTATCTGCTGAGAAATGCCAGAATGAGACGCACCTCTCATTTCATGGTGTGGCAATCGACACAGTCAAGTTCTTCGATTGTATCCCACATTGGCTCGCTTGTCATGCCTTATCCGAATGGGGTATGCATCAGGCGGCTGTCGGCACCTGGATTCATTCCATCAGGCACATGAGGAGATTCGTTTCCACCTCCGGCATAGTAGCCAGACGGCCCGTTCTTGGGACGATCGGGTTGCCTCAGGGTGACCCCATCAGTATGGCCGCCGCTAGCCTGGTGTTGGCAGTTTGGTCAAGAGATCTCAACAGCGCTGTCTACAATTATGTTTATGTGGATGATAGGCTTCTTTTCACGGAAGGCGACTCGAATGAACTCCAGCATGCCTTTGGACGTACCGAGGCCTGGGATACGCTTCATAATTTTCGCACGCAAATTAAGACTTGTCAAATCAGAGATGTGAAGAAGTCCACACCGCTTTGTTGGCGGGATGGACAAGTGGTCAAGGAAGTCAAATCGGTCGATTACCTTGGTGTTCCACTGGCCATTGGGCTCTTTTCTTCTAAGACTTGGTTTGAAAAGAAAATACACAGAGCTATTACCGCGCTACAATTGCTTGCAAGGGCCAACCAACCTGCGGCCACCACCAATATGATTGTCCACACGGTCATTATTCCCATGCTTACGTATGCAGGCGCTACACTGAGACCGACTAAGGATCAGCTCAGGCAGCTTCGCACGGCTATTCGTACTGCGGCACACGGAAGCAAGCTTGGGACCTTTTCGGCTCGAATTCTGTTTCAGAAGAACTACTTGCTTATGGACCCTGAGTTTTTCTTTGTCTGGAGGAACCTGCTCTTCTGGAACAATCATGCCTTCAAGAGGCCCGCCTTCAAGGATGCTGTGATTCAGAGCTGGGAGAAAGCTCTCCCCTCTATCAAGAAGATTGGCCCTGTTTCCCAGCTTAAGAAGGATTTGGAGTATTTGCAGCTTCATTTGAACATTGACAACTTGCAAGTTAGCAACAATGAGGGTAGATTGCTTTGGACCTTTGGAAGTAGCGACTACAAAGTGATGAGCAAGGCTCTTAGTCATTCCTTCCGTAACAAGATTGCTTCTGAATTGGAACAGTGCAACTCCACCTGTTGGAAGGGAATCGGCAACCACGATTTCGGCACAACCACTGCGCTTCTTCACTTATTGCCTGAAGGGCACCCCGTGCAACAAAAGCTCATTCGAGTGCTGATCAACGGGATTAATTCCTTCCACGTGCAATTTGTCAAGAAGTTCACTGATACTCCAGAGTGCAGAGAATGTAGACACCATGACGCAACTATGGCGCACCTGTTTTGGGAATGCCCTTTTTGGGCCGATCTGCGCAGTCAATGGGATGAAGGTTGGGAATCCTGGTTACAGTGGAGCCCCTGTTCGCAGCACCTTCTGGTGTTCTGCAAGGACCTTCCCCCTAGGCTTCAGGCTAAATGGGGTACGATTCAACGACAAGCGGTTGACCTCCTTGGTAAATGGGAAGCTCGTCATCGCGATCTCCGTACAATTGATTACAATATTCAGCTTGATCATGCTCCGGTGCAGTCTGATCGTGCTGATCAACAGCACGCTCAGCCGGAAGATATTTATTTGCTCAGCTCCCCCTTCCACAGCCACGTTGTGTTTAAAAGGGGACAATTCTTGACTATCGACCCTGATATGATGGCGGTCAAAGCTAACTTATGGTACTGGGGTGGGTGTATTGAAGACTTCCACCTCCTTCGGGGTATGCTTGACTGGTGCATATTTGACAAAGGCAAAGCTGAAACCCTCTCAAGCAGGCATACTTGGATTGAGGCCTTGCTGCTCTTCATCTTTATTGCAGGGGACAAAGCGCCTTTCCTGCGAAAGATCAAGACTGCTCGTGAGGCCCAGTGGAAGATCCGGATGTTATGTCTGGGTATTCTCAAAATGCAAGGGATTCCGATTGATGTTGAAACCGAGCCGGACATGTTGGAGCTTTGTCAGTCTTGGCCTCCGCTGCCGACGTTGCCCTTTGGGCTGATGCTTCCACGGCACGACGGCATCAACATTGGGACTAAAGTTCTGGTCAACTTGAATGAGGAATATCTTATGCTGGGCAGGCCGCTGCGTAAGCTTTACGTCACTATGGATCAGGTTGGCGCATCTATCACCTGCTGGAGGTCTTCGCCGGTGTTTGCCTCCCTGGTGGTTCGGTCTCGTTTGAATGATAAGATGGCGGGCCCGGTTCTTCCCGGCTTGAACCAGATCAATGACCGCCCTTGCATCATCTTTGATGCCTTGGCCTCGGTTCAGGATCGTCTGGATGCATGCAAGATCCTCTTGAAAGAGTACCTCATTGAGGCGGTGCCGATCAACTTCCTTTACAGCTTGGACGCCGGGCAGCTGCGCGAAGCACTCGGGAACTCCTCTGTGCGAAGACTTCGGTTTTGTATAGGTCGAAGAAGACATCTTATGACCGGATGGGCCAGTCGTTTGGCCGGCGCCCCCGGGCTCTCCCACTGCTATGGCACCGAGTGGGACCCTTGCGAGCCTCGCTGTGTGCTCTGTGGTTTCACAGTTCCCTGGACGAGGCTCGGCAGGCTTCGCCGCATGCCCCCGTGCAAGGTGCAGTATTCAGAGGTTATTCTGCCTGCGGCCTGTGAGGCAAGAGTCGCTGAACTTTCCTCGCAGGTCGACACCCTTGTGGCCCTTCTTTCGCGTTTAGGGTTCACTCCGTGATTCCCAGGCAATGCCCTGGAGGATAGACAGCGCCGCTACCGCCAGCCACGATCAAAACCTGGGTAAATGAAGGCTGGGGACAGTCGTCGCGGTAGGAATTTCTTTTGATTCTTTGCATGGTTTTGGGTGCACCGTGTATTCTACCACCATGGACACGGTGACGTCGCGCGCCACTCATCCTGCAAGGAGACGCCTCGCGCGGAGCCAGACGTTCCTGCGCCGCTTCCAGAGGCTGGAGTGTGTCTGCACTGTGGGGAAGTACGGGTGTATGAATGAATGTAGGACTGACATGGACCAATGAAGACGCAGGGGCAGTTTGCTTGCGATTTGTGGCGTGATTGCGGCGTGGCTGCAGCTGCAATGCTTATCAACATGGTCGGCAGGAAGGGCACTACTTAAAAGACCTATTCGTTCGTCTTGTGTCTATCATTTTTGAGGGCACCCGTCTTGTGGTTTTTAAAAGGACACCAACAGGAAACCAGCTGTTTTGGGGGGTTTCCCTAAAACAGACATACCCACTTGAATTCTCATGGCAATTGCAATGGCCATTTGCTGCAGCGGGAGCCCGGAAGAGGGCCCTTTGTGATTTGTTTGGGGGGGCCAGCAGCTTACGTTAGTTGGGGCCCCTGGTTGCCCTGGTTGAGTGTGAGGGATCCTTCGCTTTGAAAGGGAGAGTTATGGGGGGCTTCCTATTCCAGAGCAAACATCATGTATTGAAATTAACTGTTCTAATCCTGTAGCGGTGGTTCTCCTTCAAATCCCGCACGGATTTGCTCTAGGCGGATTTGGTTACCCTCTGGTCCACGTTGCCATGGAACCCACAGATCTCCCTTCAAAAGGAACATGGGTAAAGCCAGGACCTTTCTGCGAGGTTCCCATGTGGATGGAAGGTCTGAATTGCCAAGTTTCAGCCATGGGGCCCCTGCAGTGCGTGGGGCCTTTAGGAGCCGACCGGGGTCGGTTGGCTTGGGGGTTCGATTGGGTTCGGGGCTATCGAGTCTTTCTTCTGGGTTGAAACCACGACTCAGCCTACATGGAAGGGAAGGGTGTGTGGAGGCAGGTCTTGGAGTTGCATGAGAGCCCTTGCTCAATCCTGAATCTTGCCAGATGGTAGTGGCTTCCGTCCCACGGGCGACACATGAGGGACCCCCTCCAAACTGAACAATTCTGGACATTCTGGATATTGGCCGTTCGCGCAAGCCGTTGTCCATATTTTGCAGTTTGATGGGTGTCGGTTTTTGGCGGTCCCTATCGATTTGGCCTGGTAATGTGGGTGGACAAAATCCCACAGTAGTGTCGGCTGCTCCTGTGTAGCTTCTATGCTCCCTTGCCCAAGCTCGTCATGTTCACCTTATGGCTTCCCCATGTGTTCCAGCTTTTTGGCCAACCGAAAAGGGGATGAACTTCCAGGGGCCGTTTTTCTAACACAACAACCTGTATTTACTCTCCATTTCCCGGCACCTCTTAGTTTGTTCAAAGAAACAGGCTAGGGGCTCGGGGTCACGCAGCAGCAAAGCTGAGCGGAAACAACTGGCGACGCCAGGCACCGCATCAGCGGTTGCGCGAGCACGCAGCAGCCGCGCTTCTGAAGGCGGCGGAGGATGGGACGCTGGAGGCGGTTCTGAGCAAGAAGGCTGGGGTGTGGATGGGCAAAATATGGCAAACTCCGATTCGCACCAGCTGGCAGGTGGCTTGTCCATCTGTAGTGGGTAGGTCGTAAGGGGAATTTGTAGTCACATGGAAGGCCCGCAGAAACAGCGAGGGGAAACCTGCTAAACAGCTAAACCATCCAGGCCCAGAATGAAAGCCAGACAGTTTCCCTTGAAACAGATGTTCAACGCCGAAACCAAAGCGTTCAAGCAATGCTGAAGGCAACTCCCATGATCTTGCTGAGTCGAAATATGGTTGTCTTTTGCTGGTTTCATGGCTCTCACAATTAGACACATAAATTGATGCAGCGTTCAGGGGAATATCATGGCCGCTGTTTGTTTGAACACGCCATGTTTCAGCAACAGTTGTACTTAATAGGGCTGCTGGTTTTGCATCCCATATTTGGCCCGGAACTCGTTTCCAATCCAGCTGGTTGTGGAGCCAAAAAAAGCAGCCAGTTTAGCAGATGGTGCGGTGGCCTGGCTTATGGGTTGCAGAAAGACCCATCCAAACCTTGGCAACCATGTAGGTAAAACCAAGTCAATGGGGCTTGGGCGCTCATGTCGGTGTCCTCTTAGATGCGACCTGTCCCTGCAAAGTACCACAAAACCCATTGTAGTCTCATGTAATCAGAGTGCTTTGCTCCCCTCAGATTTAGCTTCCGTAATTTGGGGCATGTTGTTTGCCCAATTGATCGGGGGTCTCCATGGGGCCAGGTACCGCCCGCCAGCTCGAGCGAGGCCGATTTGGAATCCGTCGGAGTCGGGTACCAGGGTTTTTGTTCAAGGTGGATGAGCAAAATGCAGGGAACTGCTATTTCCACCTCTTTGGTTTTACCACGGTCCCTACCTCGCACGCGGCGCCAGGCACCGCATCAGCGCTTGCGTGAGCACGCAGCAGCCACGCTTCTGGCGGCAGCCGCGGATGGGACGCTGGAGGCAGCGCTCAGCAAGAGGCAGCAGGCGGGGGTAACGCGCATGAGCAAAACTCGCTTTTCAAGATCAGCTTGCTGTTGCGGTTGCGTGGTTGCGGTTGCGTGTTGAGCAAAATGACTGGCAGAAATGGCGATCATATTTGATGGCGATCATATTTGATGGCAATCCTTGATGGCCAATTGCTGCGGCTGCAGGAGCAACCAGAAGTGCCTGCACCACGCCCGGAGGCTTTGGTGGTGATGCGTGACGCGTTGGATGTTTGCAGGTGAAATGTGTGTCGTATGTGCAAGTTGTCCAACTCAAATACCTGCTTTTCCCCACTCGTCAGAGGGGCTGACAGTCATGCAGCAGTTTCAGGTCTGAGAGATAGTCAGCCTGACACGTCCAGATCCAGCGAGATACGCACAGCTCCGGGTCGGCGCGTTTGTGTGGGACTACACGAGATCCGTTCAGATACACGCAGGTCCGGTGTCTGCGTGGGCCGCGGCTTCGGTCAGACATGCGCATTTGTTTGGATAGTGTAGCAGGCTGCGAGCGACAATTCAACAAGTGTATTCGCATGTTTCACGTTTTTTGTTGGCCTTTGAATCACACGGAGGCAAATGCAGCAGCCATTTGCCACAAGCCATTGGCAGCAAGGTCATGCAGCAGCAAAGCTGAGCAAAAGAACCAGACAGGTCCAAGATGGGTCTTGACAAAACGAACAGGTTCCCTACCTCGCACGCGGCGCCAGGCACCGCATCAGCGCTTGCGCGAGCAGGCTGCAGCCACGCTTCTGGCGGCGGCAGCGGATGGGACGCTGGAGGCAGTGCTCAGCAAGAAGCAGCAGGCGGGGGTAACGTGCATGAGCAAACCTCGCCTTTCAAGAGCAGCTTGCTGTTGCGGTTGCGTGGTTGCAACATGTCTGGCATAAAAGGCTATCTTTTTTTCCATGAGATTTACATTCTTCGCACAATGGCAATGATGGCCAACTGCTGCAGCTGCAGGAGCCTGCGCAACCAGAAGTTCCTGCACCGCGTCCGGAGGCTTCGATGCTGATACGTGTTGGCTGCTGACCTTGACTTCTACCTGTTCTGTGAACGCTTGTGGTCAGTGTCCGAGCAACTCCGGTTTTTTTTTTCTTTTTTCGGTGCAGAAATTCAAGCGGAGTTGTGATATGTTTACAAAAAGAGACTGACAGAACCAGTTTGCTTGCGATTTGGGCTTGTGGCTGCGTGTGTATGTTTTGCGGGTCGGTTTGCAGAAAGTTTGCGTGTACTTTTGATGTGGTGACACTTGCAATTGCTATCATGGCCTATTGCTGCAGCAGCAGCAGCCTGCACATGCGGAACCAGAAATTCCTGCACCGCATCCAGAGGCGTCCATGCTGATATACGAAGTGTTGGGCATTGTTTGTGGGTGTCTAATATGCTAGGCAGCCAAGATGGTTTCCTTCAGCAGGTTTGACGATCAGTTGCAAATCTTCATCTGGTTTTAAAGGTTCCGACCAAACATAGTTTTGCAAGTCCGATTTGTGGGAAAGGGGCCCGGGCCTATACACCAAGCCACGTTTGTGCGGAGAGTATTGGGTCAGGGCTGGCCCTGGTATTTCCTGCGCTGAGGAATGGAACCTGACCGGAGCAGGAGGGGTCCAAACTGCTCTTTTCTGGGGCCTCGAACACTTTTTTTGCTTCAAAGGGAGGCTTTGGTGGGTATGGCAAGGTGGGAGGGAGGGTAGTCACGGGTCATGACTTGGCAAATTGTCTTCCCCTGCTGTGGATCCATTTACTTGTAAAAACAAAACAGGAAACTGGCGAAAGGTCAATATAAGGGGCATTGAGGGCAGAATAGGTTTTGACAGTTTACCCCTATGCCAACGACCAAATTGGTCTTGCGCACCAACACCGCATTTTGTTTCACCTAAAAGGGCCGAAATGCGGATTGGATGCACAGGTTCCAGCCGTCCCGATGTTGACCATGGAGCAGGCGGGGTGCAAACACGTCAGGCTTCTTGACCTGGGTCTGGGGCGGTTTGCGGCTTGCCAATTCTGCGATACCCTGACGAAATTCCTTTTCTCTTGAGCTTCCCTGTTGCCTTTTCTTCTCTTTTCTTCCATGACTTCATCTTGCCATGTTTTGTGAGTGGCCCCGGGGATTGGCTTACGCATAAAGTAGTGAGGGTGGGAATCAACCGCACAACGCTATCACAGATTTTGGTGACTTTCCAGCCTGGGACCGACCCCGTATCATGGCGAAGTGCACGTCCGATTTTGGAGGACTGGGTCTGTCCTTTTCTTCTTCTCGTTTTTGCATGGCCTTGAAGGGAAGCTAAAAGGAAACCAATCACTTTAAGGGAGACACCCCCAACTTTCCTGCAGAGTAAGCGCGAGGACTTGTGTCGGGCGTTTCAACTGAAACTGGAGCATGTGTCTGGGCAAATTACAACCACAGCAATCGGGGATGCGAGCTCCAAGGGCTCCTCACCCGGGGACTCCTGGCTGGTGTGAGGTTCATCTCATAGTTTGCCCAGATTGCGGTTACCCTGCCACCGTGGAACAGGGTGGGGGGGTGTTGGCTTGGACCAGGTGGAAGGATTGGTGGCATGGGTGCCATTTATGCCTGGATGAGGGCTCCTCGCTGTTCATTTTATCGCCTTTTCCGTGTTTAAGTGTGCCTCCTTTGCGTGTGATGTAAAAGGGGACAACATGCGCCCGTGTTTTGGAGCGCTTCTTAGGTTGTTCAGCCCAAAGGAAAGCCACACATATTCCCAGTCCGGGGCTCGAGCGCTCCACTGTTGAGGCGCAGCTGGCAGAAGACGAGCGCGCCGTGGCCGGCAGCTTTGTGGACGGCCTCATTCTGGCCACGCGCTTCAACGGGCGGGGGTTAGTGGAGTCTACAGGCGCACCAAACAATGTGTGTGGCCCAAGCTTTAAGAGGCAGGGGACAGCAGGTTTTTTCTTCTTCTATGTTTCCATTTACCAAGGTTCCATGTTAGGCCTCTAGAGCTGGTTTTTACCTAAAGGTTCGGCTACCTGGTTTAATTGGGGAGCAAAGCATCCACCCTTAGAATTTGGGGAGGGTGAACCCAGGAGATCTCCATGTATGGTTCCATGTTCCCTATGAGCAAGACCAGATTAAAGGAATTGGGGGACCCCCAACTCTCCCCCTTAAGATAGAGTGGGGAGTAAAGAAACATGGCTTTTGTGCACACTCGACCCTTTTAAGACGACTTTCCTTCGGACAGAGGCCTGTGCACCAAGCCATTGTTGTGGTGCGAGGCTAGTTTTCTCGTCACTTGCCTAGAAAACTTAGAAGTGAACATTTCGAGGGGTCCGCAAAGCTACTTTTGGGGACGGGAAACGCGGTTGACCCCCCAAATTGAGCGGGTGATTTTGTCACCCAATGAAGGTTCCTTCGGTCGCTTATTTCAGGTCGGTGAATCCACCTGGTTTCCCATTCCACCTTGGTTGTTATTGAGGAGTACTGGGCGGGTGTTCTTTCGAACAGGGATGTGTATCCGTATCCCACAAATCGAGATTCAGCTTAATGGTGGAACTTGATAAATACCCCCCCCCCCCCCTCAAGGTTGACAAGGTTTGGGAAAATCAGATTTTGGGGGTTCCCCTAGGGGCCTCCCCCTAATAATTGATCTGCAGGACTTGAAGCTTGAGAAGCTTGAGGATTGAGGTTTGGAGGCTTGAGGTTTCTGATCAGCTGCCAGGCTCCTGCAACTTGCTGTTTTAGCAGACAAACTTTTCAGAAAAAGGGACCCTTGGCCAAATTCAAATAGAATCTTCTGGTAGTATCTGTTGAGTAGTAGCCCTTTAGGCTTCCAATTGCTGGGGCCAGGTTGTGGCTTTTGAGCAGGGGCCCCTTGATTAACCAGGGGGGTTTCTCTTATTAGGGGGGGGTCAGGCCTTGAAATGGGGTACCCTTTGTGGCCTTGGCAAACCTGCATTTCTTAAACAGGATGTAGTAAAGAAATTGGCTGTTTGGGAATGCAAACTTTTCAGAAAAAGGAACCCTTGGCCTAAGTAGTATGTATCTGTTGAGTAGTAGCACAACTTGAAGAAGGAAGCACTGAAGGCAGGAGAGGCAATAAAGGAAAGGAGTGAGAGCATTCAGACAGGCTGAGTCATGAGGAAAAGGATGCTGCTGCTGTCTGCTGCTTCAGGATTTTTTCTGGGAGATTGGGGGACGTCTTTAATCAGGGGGGTTTGGAGGTGCCCCAAAAAAATTAAGGGGTGTTTTTTGGCCAAACCTTGTGGGTGCCTTTTAAAGTAGTATTGCCTGGAAATGGTCTGGGGAAACCGGACGTCTTTAATCAGGGCGGGTTTATTAATCATGTTCCATCATTACGTTGTATCACAGTCGAGAGGGTGGTGTGCTAGAATCCACTTCAACAAGTGCCTAGGGCTCCTGAAAGATGCAATTTGACCACCAGAAACCTTACTCTTTCCAACAGACCAACGTGAGGCCGCCCTTTTTTGTGTGACGATGGGTGGGGTAACCCCTGAATGTTCAAGCTCCACTCACTCAGGCTGGCATGGTGCCGCGGGCGAGTCAGTCTGGAGGCATGCGGGCACTAGTCTTTGTTTGGTGCACCCGAATACGTGTTTTTTGGGGGCCCATTGGCTGAGGCAACCCTTAGTTCGTTGTTGGGAGTAGTGTTTTGAAGCTACCCCTAACCTCCAAACCACCAATCCAAACCAGAAAGTAGACGGAAGCTGAGCTGAGGTGGGGGTGGGTCAAAATTCAACCACCAGAAACCCGCAGGTTTTCGTCCTTGTTTCCATTTAGGGTTTCATTTTGGGTACCCATTTTGACCCACAGCCAGGTTCGTTCGGGTTCGGTAGCCACCGTTTTTTGCGGGGCCTCGGGCCTCGAGGCACCTCGCCCATGGCCAGCCTCGTGAACTTCGAGGTGCTCGACCGATCGACCCGACCGAACCGCCCAAGACACGAGGTGTTTGGCATTGGAGGGGTTGACCGCTTGAAAAACCAAGCATACCAACAAAAGAAGGTGGGAATCGCCAAACAAACAGCCTTTTGTTACGCCATGGCAATTGACTGGGGGTCACCGGGTCTGGGTTGTGCAAAGACCTTGTGATCCCAAAAGGCTTCGTAGCTTTCCGTGGAACACGGACGTGGTTTGTGGAAAGGGCTCCCGCACGGCGTGTCCCAGGTTGGTTGTGAGGATAAACTTTGTTTGCTTCAAAGATGTGTATCCAAGATGCTGTTTTTGGAAATCTTCATATCCTAAACATCCTGTGGTCGCATGGAAGATCGAGGGCTTTTGGGTCACTTATAGCACAACATGAATCAGAGTCCTTTGGCGCAGGGGAAGCCTTTCGTGGCCCCTCGGCCTCCCTGGAAGGAACCCCTTTCAGGGTTGTTGTGGTTTGGATCGAGGTTCATCAGAATGACCCTGGGCAGCGTCCACATTACTTACCAAGCTGAAAGATGGGTTGCGCTCCTAGTTCCCATATTGGGAGCATGCATGTTGACCGTGGCTCACATGTGAACAGCCCCTCACAGATTCAGGACGTGTGGTCAATGCTGACGCCACCCGTCAAACTCAGGCAGCTCACCTAACATGTGTGGGTCTAACAGTCTAACGGGAAGCCAAGTGGAGAGGCAGCCACGCGTAGCCAACCTCTCCACGGCCGAGGATGGGCAGAAAGAAGAGCCGAAGGAAGAGCAGGCGGAAGCCCAGGAGGAGCAGAAGGAAGACAAGGAGAGCGTGCGCAGAACAACGACCATCGTTGCTTCAAACAGCCTTTCTTACTTCCTTTATGTCTTTCATGCTGCCTTCTCTGGGGTCCCTTCTCACATAGTGGTTTCAACTGGCACAGATGACGCTTCGGTTGCCCCCCCCCTCCACCGGGACATGTGAAGCCTGCAGCGAGGAGCAGCGGTTGCAGCAGGCAGGGCCCAAGGGTGATGTTCTGTGCATGAGACGCATTTGGTCGGACTGACGTTCACTTCGACGATATTAAAGATTTGTGCTTTGGAGCTCAATCCACCTGCGAACCCGAAAAAGAGGGGGTCCCCCAAAAAGGAGTCCATGTTGGTCTCCAAGAGAGTGGTTGTTTAAGATCCCACCATATATGATATGTATGCGTAAGTGTAGGCAAATGTGGGTAGTATATAGTCTACAAGGGGGTAGGGTTTTCCAGCCTGTTTAAAGTAGTAGGGGTACACTGGAATTGTGGTCCAGTGGAACTTGACCTTGGCCCTCAAACTTCACCCCTGTGTTGTTTCTCTTGTGTTTTTTGCTTAAAAAGGGCAACCCCGAGCATCGCAGTAGCTTCTATTCCTTGTCCCTTTAAGCGCTTCATCCAGGAATGGGAGCTCGCCGACGACCAAACCTCTTGAGGAACGCATATTATATATATATATATATTCGGGATCCTGGGATGACAGTGGGAGCTTCAAGCTTCAAGGCGTCCAAATCATCACTTCGCAGCTTTGGGTTCCCTTTCAATTTTCAGAAAAGATCTTGGCCTGCGCGGCAGGCGATGGGCCCCCTGTCCAACCAGAAGGCGAAGTCATCGATTGTTCATCGCTAGTCCCATTTCCTCCCTTCAACAACGAGGTTAAAGGCTCTAAATATCTGGCCTGTTTATTGAGCTTGGGCCCATGGTAGGTAACGTGCTTGGGGGACACCCGTTTGTTTGGGGAACCAAACAAGGAACAGATCGATCAATTATCATATGGTCTGTGGTTGGTTTTCTTAAAGCTTCCGTGGCGCTTATGCCCAGCTCTCATTTAGCGGGAGTCAAACAGAGCGTCACAGATGCTGGGAATAGTGCTTTTGCGGCCAACCAAACTGCAGTTCTTGGATGCGATGTTCGTGGTTTCTTTTGAAGTCTTGGTGGTTGATGAGGATTAATCCCAGCATGTGCAGGAGCGCGGAACGCAGAGAGTCCGTTAGGAAATGGTGTGCAATGACTTCAGCCAGGTTCCACGCTGCTGGATAGGAGGGGTGAATGATGTTTTGGCTCCTCCAACTTGCAGATAAAGATGCGGATCCTGCAATATCCCTCCAATGGCTGCCACATGACAAAGGAAGTTCACCTGAGCCTTTTTATAGCCCGGGGTTGCAACCAAGCTGCCTATGTCCTAATGGGGAACCAACTCACAAGTGCCTGGACATGTTTCCCCACCGATGTTGATGTCCGCCAAGAATTCCAACCGCTTCAGATTTCGTGCCCGGCGTGTCACTTGCCTGACCGCACCTTTCTGGCTCCTAGGTTCGGGACTCAAAACTTGGCACCGTTCAGGTGCTGACCGCCTTGGTCCAGGCGTCCTTCGAAGATCTGGACTCCAACCGAGACGGCGTCATCACCCGCGAGGAGAGACGTTGAGTCGTGTGGTTTCCCGGGTCAACGGTTGGTAAAACGTCTCAAATCAGGTTGGTTGCCTCCTATAGTGCTAACTGGAAGCACTGGGAATGATGACTTTATGGCTATTTGGTTGGATCTTTGCACTTCAACTTTTTGGGAAACAGGTCGGATTTTCCATTGGACTCAAATGTTACACTTTATTGCAGAGGGGTCAATAGCAACCAAAGACACCTTGAAGAAGCCTTGAGCCCACCCCAAGCCCGAAGGAAACACTAAAGAGCAGCACGATTCGAATGGAGGTTCGCGCTTGAAGCCCCGAGACATCCATCGGAGGAGTTCGACGCCTTTGTGGCCAAGGTGAAGGCCGGCCTGGAGGCGAGAGCTGGGTGTGTTTGGCAGTCGACGCATCACAGGCAATAAATTATGCCACACATGTTATATACATTGTTATAGTACACAACAAAGATATTACACATTGCTGAATATTTTTATACACATGTCGTATTTGTTTTAATGTTGTATATATAATATACACACACACACGCATGTTGGATATAGCTATATGCACATATACATACCCTCTGTATATATATATATATGCAGTCCCCTCCTCAAACCCAGCTCACCTGAAAAGAAAACGGTGGAGGCGAGGTGCAACCGATTGGCTAGTGGTCACAGGAAGGTCCCTGTGATGTTGTCCAAGTTTGGATGCGCGTGTTCCCTTGCAAACCTGTCCTGAAACAGGGAACCCTCAATGAGGGGACTTGCCCTTGTTGCCCTTCAATCCAGCAAGTTGCACCCCTTCATTTTGGGAGGAATCTCCTTTTGACGACCCCTGTTTTCGGGTTTTATGTTGATTTGCTGAATGGAGTCCTGCACGACTTGCTAACCCTTTGGTAAGCGACCAGACCCAACCAAACGGTACGGACATCCGGCTTGATTCTCTCTACACCCCGCGGGTTTTCTGGATTCCAGCTGATCAGTACTCTAGGGGATGTTTCGGATCCAACCCTCGGTATGGCGAACTCCTTCCATGAGCCAGTTGTAGCTATGGTCAGCCGCATTCGCTGGGTCTCCCCTTCTGTTGGACTCCCTGCACGTGTCTTTCCAATCCTTCCCTGTCAACAAGTTTTCAGGATCAGGTTCTGGAGGTATTGAAGCTTGGATGATTCTTGTATAGCCAGAAAGGTCAGACCAAGGCAGCATGTACCTTTATACAAGCTGCAACCTCCAAACTGTTGACAAAGACTTCCATTGAGAATCAATTGCGATTTGTGTGGCCACGTTGACGTGAACTGTCTAAACAAGTAGCGTATTCCAATCTAGGGCCCGGGCGCCCGTTGTCGTCATTGTCGTTGTTGCTGTTGCAGCTGTTGATTTGATGATTCCATGATTCGAGCACGCAAGGAGTACCAAACAGGCAGCAGCAGGGGAAGCTTCAAGCGGAAAGAGCATAAAGAGCGAAACACGGACCCAAGCCGCCGCTAGGAGATGCCTGGTTCGAGTAAGGTATCCCTCAAGCCCAAATCGCAGGCGGCCGACAGCTCGGGCCAGTCGGCAGAGGAGGCGGTGGGAAAAAGAAAGAACTGGCTTCCGGTTGGGTCACACTAGGTGTTTCTCAAACTCATGGTCTACAATGGTTCTGGAACTAACAACCAAAGGGTGCTCCACCATTTTCACAAAAGACATGTAATTTTACACATTCAGGCTTTGCCCCTGATGCATCCAGCCGCAATGGGAGCTCAGAAATCTGGGCATGGGATTCCGGGATTCCACAGATTCAAGTTGGCGATTTGTCGAGTGGCACAAATTCCTTTTCTAGGTCAGCAACTGGGATGACTAAACCAAATTGGGGGCGGGGGTCGGGGGGAAATGAGCCATCTACTTTCACCCAACTGTACTTAGTCGAGAGATTCTGCACATGCGGGCCCCTTTGTGTTCTCAACAGGGGGTCCATATTTTGGGAGCCCTCTGTTTTCTTGATTGGTGTGGGTTTGCCTGTCGGTTTAAAAGGGAACCAGTCATGGTTTAGGTTTGCAAATATTGCCATGTTTTAGTGGCACCAAGCGACAAGATGGCGCTAAGGAAATCAAGAGGGAACCGATGGGTGTTGTTTAGAGTCATATGTTTCTGATCTTCCTATGTTAAGAACCACCTTGTGTGAGGGCTTAGAGCTTGGGTTGCTCTGGGTGCATCATTTTGCCAGATGTTTTTGTTTGTTCTTTACTTTCCTTCAAGTTACATAGCATGGACGTCAACAAACACCTTTTGCCACTCCGGGTACATAATAAATGGAGTAATTGCTTCGGGCTGTGCAGAGATAGTCCGGGGCATGTTGTTTGCCGAATCAATGGCCTCCCTAGGGACTAGTTGGGATCGGGGTTCTGCATTGGGGCTAGGCACCGCCCGCCAGCTCCAGCGAGGCCGATCTGGAATCCGTCGCAGTCGGGTAGCAAGTTTAAAAATGGGTGGTATGCAACAATATCAACCTCTTAGATTTTACCATGGTTTCTCCTTGTGCAAAATCCGCGTCTAGTGAAAATGGGATATGGTTCGCAAACTGAAGCTTCCCAGCGATACACCTTCTTCAGGGCAGTCGATGGCCCAATTTGAATGGTTGTTTACTCCGCTGATGGAAACATTCCCAATTGGCAATACAAGGCGGGCAGTAGCCGACAAACTGGAAGCCAACTCGTGAATACAAATTCTGGTGGTTTCCCCGGAGACAGGCCTATTTCAAAGGAGGTAGTCTAAAGCCCTGAGTCAGCTTAAAGGGGTCTTCTCAAGGCTTTTCGACAGCACCTTATCATGGTGTTAAGAAGTCTTTGGATCCAATTGGAACCTGCACAAGGTGATCCAGTTGTTGCAAGAATTTGGGAACGGGGGCCGAACGGCCCCAACTTGTTACGGGCGAGTTGTGTGAACGTTCAAAGATGAACTTTGTCAAACAAAGCGGCCATTTACCTCTTGGTCTCGGGGTCAAAGAGACAGGTTGGGGGTTCGGTAAAAACGAACGGGCTCCCCCAACTGGGCGAACTCGCGACGCTAGGAGCGCTTGCGCCAGAACGCAGCAGCCACGCTTCTGAAGGCGGCGGAGGATGGGACGCTGGAGGCGGTGCTGAGCAAGAAGGCGGAGTGTGGATGGGCAAAATGGCAAATTCACGATTCGCACCAGCTGGTAGGTGGCTTGTCCATCCGTAGTGGGCAGGTCGTAAGGGGAATTTGTAGACACATGGAAGGCCGGCAGAAACAGCGAGGGGAAAACTGCTAAACTGCTAAACCATCCAGGCCCAGAATGAAAGCCAGGCAGTTTCCCTTGAAACAGATGTTCTTCGCCGAAACCAAAGCGGTCAAGCAAAGCTGAAGGCCACTCCCATGATCTGGCTGAGTCGAAATGTGGTTGTTTTTTACTCGTTTCGTGGCTCTCAAATCAGAAACCTAAAGGATGCAGCGTTCAGGGGAGTATCATGGCCGTTGTTTGAGCAACAGTGGTAGATGCGTAACATGGCCGCTGGTTTTGATCCCATATTTTGACCCGGAACTCTGGCTGATGGGTTACAGAAAGGCCCATCCCAACCTTGGCAACCATGTAAGTACAGCCAAGAGTCAATGGAGTTTGGGCGCTCATGTGAGTGTCCTCTTAGACGCGACCTGTCTCTGTAAACTACCACAAAAGCCGGCGTAGTCTCATATGATCAGAGTGGTTTGCTCCCCTCAGATGTAGCTTTCATTTGGGGCATGTTTGCCCAATCGATCGGGGGTCCCCATGGGGCCAGGAACTGCCCGCCAGCTCGAGCGAGGCCGATTTGGAATCCGTCGGAGTCGGGTGCCAAGGTTGAAGGTTGATGAGGAACATGGGTGGTATACAATTATTTCCACCTCTTTGGTTTTACCACGGTTTCTCCTTGTGCAGATCTGGGTCTAGTGAAAATGGGCTATGGTTAGGAAATTGGAGCGTACCCTAGGGATACACATGGACAAAGTCCGCTGTTGGCGACTCACAGTGCCCTCCGAGTAGTTTTGTGGTCATGTGTTTTCTCGGCCCAAGGGCGCAATTGGCAAGGTGGATGATACCCGACAAGCCGTCCCCGGAGACAGGCCTATGTTCAAGTAAGGTAGTCTAAAGAGCACAGCCCTGATTCAGCTTGAAGGGGTGTTCTCAAGGCTTTTTGCCAGCAGCTTATCATGGTCTTCGGGTCCGATTTGAACCTGCGCAATGTGATCCAGTTGTTGCAAGAATGAGGGGAACAGGGGCCGAAAGGCTTCCACTTGTCACGGGCGAGGTGTGTGAGCGGAGGTGCCGAAGATAGACTGCGTGTCAAATAAAACAGCCATTGCCTCTTGGTTTGGGGGTTTCGCCAAATCGAGCGGGTTCCCTATCTCACCGAACTTGTGACGCCAGGCGCCACATCAGCGCTTGCGCCAGCACGCAGCATCCACGCTTCTGAATGCGGCGGAGGATGGGACGCTGGAGGCGGTGCTGAGCAAGAAGGCAGGGGCCCACAGAAACAGACAGGGGAAAATCCAGGCCCAGAACAAAGGCCAAAAGCGGTCAAGCAATGCTCAAGGCAATGACCATGATCTTGCTGAGTCGAAATATGGTTGTTTTTGACTCGTTTCGGGGCTCTCAAATTTAGAAGCACAAAGGATGCAGCGTTCAGGGGAATATAACGATCCCTGTTTTTTGGAAACCGCCATGTTTCAGCAACAGTGGTACTTAATAGGGCTGCTGGTTTTGAATCCCAGATTTTGACCCGGAACTCGTTTTCAATCGAGGCGGTTTGGGAGCCAAAACCCCAAAAGGGCCAGTTTAGATCATGGTTTGGTTGCCTGGCTTATACATGGTTGCAACCAAGAGTCAATGGAGTTTGGGCGCCCATGTGAGTGTCCTCTTAGACGCGACCTGTCTCTGTAAACTACCACAAAAGCCGGCGTAGTCTCATATGATCAGAGTGGTTTGCTCCCCTCAGATGTAGCTTTCATTTGGGGCATGTTTGCCCAATCGATCGGGGGTCTCCATGGGGCCAGGCACTGCCCGCCAGCTCGAGCGAGGCCGATTTGGAATCCGTCGGAGTCGGGTGCCAAGGTTGAAGTTGATGAGGAACATGGGTGGTATACAATTATTTCCACCTCTTTGGTTTTACCACAGTTTCTCCTTGTGCAGATCTGGGTCTAGTGAAAATGGGCTATGGCTAGCAAATTGGAGCGTACCCTAGGGATACACCTCCTTCAAGTGCAGGGATGGGCTGCTCCTTCAATGTGGATTGACAAAGTCCATTTCGCACTTGAGCCACGATCAAAACCTTTGCAGATGAAGGTGAGTATAAGGGATAATCCCAAACCATAAATGTGCAGCTGCTTTGTAATTCCCTAGGTTTTGAATGTGGCCCACCTGGGAAGGAAGCCCGATTTGAATGGTTGCTCAACCTGCCGTTGGCCAAACAGCGACATTATCGTTTGTTCCAGGCATACCGCGAAGACGAACTGGTGCGAAGTGGATGTTGCCCAGCAAGTGCCCTCCAAGTATATTCGTGGAAATGATTTTCTCGGGGTCCTCAAAAGGCCACAAAATCGGCCAAAGGGCGCAATTAGTCAGGCAAGGCGGGCGGTAGCAAACAAATCGGAGGCCAAATGGACAATACCAATTCCGGTGGGTTCCCATGCAGAGAAAGGCCTATTTTCAAGGAGGTAATTAGTCCAAAGAGTACAGCAGTGAGTCAGCTCAAAGGGGATTGTGTTGAACAAAACGTTCAATTCCCTCTTGGTTTCATGGGTTCGGCAAAAACGAACGGGTTCCCTCTCTCGCCGAACTTGCGACGCCAGGCGCCGCATCAGCGCTTGCGCCAGCACGCAGCAGCCACGCTTCTGAAGGCGTCGGAGGATGGGACGCTGGCGGCGGTGCTCAGCAAGAAGCAGCAGGCGGGGGTAGCGTGCATGGGCAAAATACTGTGGAGGGACGAAATCCTGCACCACTTTGAGACCACGGGATTCCATTGCTTGTTGGTATTTACAGGGGGAATCATCGTTCCAGGGTTTCTTAGGACTTAGGTGGTGCAGGATTCCATCCACAGGATGGCAAAGTCCGATTCGCACCAGCTGGTAATTAGGTCTTTTGTCCATCCTTTTGGGTGGCGCGAAAATGTTGGTCTCCGTGTAAAACCGATGTTTCGTTTATGATTTACAGGGAAACAAGTTGAAACGTGGTCGTTCACAGGGTGCGGTCCTTTTTTGGCCCGCAAAAGCATGTACACCCATGTCACAAGTCTATCTGCAGAAACCACGTGGAACGATTTAGAAACTGGAAAATCATATGGTCCAAGAGACCAAAGCGCCGTCCCGCACGCGTATTTCTCCCTCCTTTGTTCCCGCCTGAGGCGAGGGTGTGTCGTCACGTCAACTAGCCGGAGGTAACCCTGCTCCAAAGTGATGCAGGGGGGTCACCCATTCTTGCCATCCAAAGGGCCTCAATTTGTTCCCCTGTTGTGGGGCTTCAAAGGCAACCAAGGGACACCCCCCCCCTTTGGGTACCCCTATTTGAGACAGGCCCTCAAAAAGCTGGGACCCATGGTTGGTTGACATGCGTAGATGATGCCCACCAAAGGGTGCCAAAGCAAATATTGTTTGTGTCCTGAAGTGGGAGGGCAGGTGCTTGCGGAAATGGAGGTTTGGAAGTTTCGAGATCAACTGAGCCGCACCAACCCCCCCCCCAAAAGAAAAGGGGGCAATTGTAGCAGGTGGTTCTACAGGTTTACTTCGGATGACTTAACCTTTGCAACCATCATAGAACCAAAAGTCAGCTCTGCTCAAGTGGATTTGTCCCGTTCGGGAGCCCCGGAACATGGGGAGGGGGCTGTGCTTTTGGTCTAATCCAAAAACACCACAGAGCTCATTCATGACCTCTCTAATGCACATCCTCTTTTTGACCAAATGTAGAGTCCATAAGACAATTCAAGAAAGCTCTGCAGGACAGCACCAATGGGTGTTTTGTTCGAGACTCAGTACCTTGTTGGGGTGGCTTGAAAGGGAATCCACTGGCCATTTTATCAAAAAAACCCAATGGAAAAGCAGGCCTCATGAACATGACCAAACGACACAGCTGGCGAAGATGCCGCTCCGCGTTGCCTGATCGCTGACAGGTTCAGATGGATCCACGACTTCAGGCGCAGGGGCTGTTTGTGTGGGCCGAGAAACCACGAAGCAAAACGGAGATCAACCACAGATCCGGATTCACGAAAGGTACTTGGAGGGGCAGGGTACTTAGTTGTCAGTGGCCGGAGTTTTTGTAGCTCGCTTGGACTTGCAACCATGTGAGTAATACTTAATCCGGTCCCATCCGGTACCCCTAATAAACATGCCGCTCTGAAGAAGAATATTGGTCTGAGGGCGGAACAGTATCTATTAATTGGGCACATTGCGGCATTCGGGGGTTGCACTAAAACCCCTGTCCAAATGGGGTCCCCCTCTTCGGGCCTCAGATACAGTTTCCGAGCAAGGAACTTAAACAGCAGAAACAAATGTCATTCGGCGGGAATCTGGCTGGTTGAGAATGTGTTTATTTAGTATTGGCTAGTTCTAGTTTAGTATTGGAATAGAAGAAACACACATACTTGTTTTAATAGGTCGTATTTATTAATAGTTAAACAGATTACCAAGTACCCTGCTCTTCAAGTACCTGTCTAGCCTTTCAACTTCTGAACTGAGGGGCCAGAGGGGTACGATGCGTTGCAAGCGAGCGAGACCAATTGAAAGGTGCCGGCGTCCTTGAAAAACCAACACACGCGGGCTAAATCAAGCGATTCATTGGCCTGTGAACTCATTCCCGAAGTTGGATGTTCCACGTTTTGGGCAGACCGTTTTGAGTAAGTAGCACACATCATGTTTGGACTTTGTTGGGCCAGGCCACTCAAAGAGTAAGTCACGAAATTTCCCCGCGTAAATTTGGATTTGGTTGACCGAGTCCTATGGTCAGGGTCCTTTCTTCAGGTCCGGTTGGTGGTTTGGTTTGGGGGTAAATGGGAAACCCCCTAACCACATCTAACCACCAAACCAGCAATCCAAATCAAATGGAGGGAAGCTGCGCAATCAGGTCCTCTTTCAGGAATTCCTTGAGTGGTCGCAAGGGTGTTGCACAAGGACCAAGCTTCAACATGGTTGTGGAAACAGGTTCTCGGGGCGCTTCTGCGACACCAAGGGAATCCTCTTCAAAGTGATATTCGTCATGGGAGTGACCCATGTTGGTATCAGACAGCAGATGATTTTGCACAACCATGAGCTTCAAAGCACAACTCTGTTTTTGCAGGAATCCGCGGCATGTGCAGGCGGAGTGTGAGCACGCAGTGTCCGGCCGGCTGGTAAACACCATCGTGGCGGCCGGCATCTTAGTCTGAGCTCACATCTCAGTCTGAGTCGGTTCCATCTTCTTTTCCTCCCCTTTGAGTGAGGGTTCCCTTTTAGAATCAACCAGCCAAGAAGCCGTGATCTTCAAAGGACAAGGCCGGCCAGTGGGTTCTGGCAAAGCACTTGTTTCCTCGTTGTGGGTTCCGCTGAATGAACATCAAGCAGCAAAAGGGCAAGGGACAAAGCCAAAGTTTGGGTGGCTAACCGAGGTAACCCTTAATTATTACTTGGTGGTTTGGATTGTTGGTTCAGGGATTTGAAGCCTTGCTTCTTGTAGAGGGGAAATGAGAAACCACTTCCTCCGATCCACCAATCCGCCAATCCGACTGGGAAGGTGATAAATCTGACCCGGTGCCTGGCTGCACGCTTGGAAGGGGAAGGTGCTTGGCAGGATGGCTTGAAAGTCAGGAAATTAGAAATCTTGAGAGGCATGAATAGATAGACAGAGAGGGAGAGAGAGTGTGAGAGAGAACGTTTTATTGAGGACACGATGCCCCGGCCATCGCTGTCGGGAGGCGCGCTCTTGTCAATTTGCTCCAGGGGCCCCCTGAGGTTTTTTTAGGAGGGTCACCCCTCACAAAATCACAACCGCTTAGTAAGAGAGGCAGGAGGCAGAGGGGTTTGATGGAACCGGTCCTTGGACGAGCCGTTGCTCAGAAGTCACCGGCGAATCAGAGGAACTTCTGGGAACCCAACACTTTGGTATCAGGAAACCTCGGAACTCGGAACATATCAACTATCAGGATTATAAGGAACTTAGGGAAAGTTGATTTTCTAGTATACATAGACATGTGCTATATAGGCCTTTTTTCCAAGCCCGGTCACACGTTACAGTCACACCAACACGTGTGTGAGGTCGCTAACCTTGTTTCGGAATATAGGATAGCACCCCCACAGAGGGGTGAAGCCTCGGGAACCGTATGAAGAAGGTTCCATGATGAACCAAGACAATAAGTTATAGATTGGTAAGCCTTTACGATGACTTGTTTATACTACGTATGTATAGTAGAAAATACGATGTGCACAATATGAGGCACGTTTTTGTTGTTTTCCTATTTTATGATTATGGTCTATCTCCTGTCCATTCTATTTCTGAGCTTCTAGGACAGACACACATCATGACCAAAAATAGAAGTCTGTCACCAAGGGCTTGACATTTTCATCCAAGTTCTCAGGGTCTAGTATCCCAAGCTTACAGACGCTTCCAACGAGTGATGGAAGGAAGCAGGAGCCACTGGCGAGGGAGCCAGGTAATTCCTGTTTTCGATGAAACAGGTTGCACTTGGATTCTCAGGGGCCAAAATTCGACGCGATGGTGTCGAATAGGAGCTCTTGACCCGAACACGCCGCAGGCACCTCTCCAATGGTCAGCTCTGCCCAGACGGAGGCGAGGAAACATGCCTCAGAGCGCGAGTGCTTGGGCTTGAAAACTACCAGAGTAGCTACCCACATGGGAATGTCGTAACTTGACCTGTAGAACTCCGGTGGGTTTGGTGGAGTCCGAAACTTGCCGGGGGGGGGCCTGGTTTGGAAGCCATACGTTAAACGAACAGGTACAGGTAAACGATCCTATGATAGTGTAAGCAATGCTGTTGCGTGCTAAACTACGCAGTGAGTAGTGGTTTAGGCAAGCCATGTGGATGGACAAGCAAGTCATTGGCAACCAGGGCCAAAAACAACTCAACTATCAGCAGAGCTGGCGATATTGGTTTCATTCCATGCTATGACTGGCTCGTGGCCGGATAGTGAGATCAGTGGCAGTCAGGGTCGGGCGGCAGCATCCCCGACTTGCTTCTGGTTGCTACGAACCATCCGGAAAAAGCTCAGCCCCTTTTGTCCTTGGAAGCTCAGCCGCAGTCCTCTGGGCTCTTTCTAAAATCGCAGATGGATTCCAGTGCCCAAAACCCCCCACCGGGCCAAAAACAACCTTTATAGCCATGTTTGTAAGACTCACCCATCCTCTTTCCTGTCTGGAACTCTTCCTACTTTTTTGAGTCCACCAAAGCCTCATAGCCGCGTTCCAGATTTCAACCCAGTCGCCTTTCGTGAGCACGCAAAATGGCAACCTTTGATGATTTGATTGTGAGGGGGTCCGCATCCCATTGCCACCTGTTTAACTCTTATTGCATTTTTGGGTTTCCTTCATTCCCGCCTTCAACGTACAAGAAGTTAGCTTTCTGCAGGTCCCCCAAAATCCCAAATGGTGGATGTCCTTTTGGTTTCCCGTTGAAACCACGCCAAAAAGGGTACCCTCAAAAACAAGACACGCCCAACTAGGGATTTGAACCCCCAAGATGGTTTTCTCTTCATGGCTGGCACGCCACGCCGCTTGCAGATTGGCGTGAATGTGATCAACACAGCCCAGTGGCACGCCCGCCGGAGTTTGGAGTCTTGGTGCGCTGGCACTGAAGGTTAAGTCCTGGGCATGTGTAAATTCCCATTATCCAGTTGCACCATGTTCCCCTTGTTGTTTGGCTCTTAAAACATGGTCAACCCAGGAAGGGGATCCCTGTCACTCGGATCACAAACACGTGTTGCTCCCCCCATCAAAATCAACCGAGGGCCCAAATTACTGAAAGGGCACCATCCAAACGCTGGAGAACATGTCTTATTTCGGATTGCTCTTTTTTGGTTTCCAGATTAATCTGCAAGGGAGTAATCAAACGAAGGACTATGCTACTCAGAGCTGAAAAAAACACTGCTTCACAGTAAAATCGGTTCACTGTATGGGGGATTCCCTCGATGAATAGGAGAAGTTAAGATGCACATCACAACGGTCCAAGACTGACTAAAGTGGTCCGAAAATCGGGGCCCGAAATATGGTGGGTTTCCTCTAGATAGTCGGAAACCAAGTTGGGAACCGCCCTTTAAGGCTGGTTACCTGCTATAGTGATTGCAGGGATACAGGGTGAACTATATAGCAGTTCCGTCCACACTTTGCGACGGCTGGTTTCCTTCCGCCAAGACAGTGTCCACCAGCGCACGCACACACACACACCCCCTTGAAGGACCCTCCAATGGAGAACCCAATCTCGGCCGTTCAAGCAGTTTGTTTCGAGCAATCGAAAAGGAGTGGTTCTGCGAAGCCTCTAGCTGTACGTCTGCACTTTTGGACCTGGGATCGGAACCTAAATTCAGCTGTACCTCCCAAGTCCAAGAGTTGCTCAGAGATGCAGCTGGCGTTGCCTGAAATCCTAAAATTATAAAATCCTTTGGTGTTCCACTGCAACTACAGATTGGGATTTAGGATCCCTCCATTCAGCGACACTGGTCTTTCGACCCCCAGCCCATAAAGCAAAAGTTAAAGTGGCAGCAAAGTAAGTTCGGGCTTCAAAAACCGAGTACCCGTTTTAAACCAGTGAGGTTCATACAAGGCAACAGCTCGTGCCGCTCGAAATCGCCGAATCGCCCAGCTTGCGCCAGGCGCAAAGTGAAGGCCGAGCTCGAGGCCAAGATGGAGACGGCGCGGGCCGTAAATGTCGTGATTTTGTTCGAGGATGCAACACCTCTACTGGGTGTGTCGTTTGTAGGGCACCCCTCAAAATGGTGGGTTGTCTTTTTGGGTTCCTATTGAAAGCCATCCAGGGTACCCTCAAAAAAGGACACTCTGTTGGCAATTGTAGCAGGTGGGGAGGTTGTAGTTTGGTCTACATAAACCAAGTATGATACAAGAGCCACCAGAGCAGACAGGCAGCCACATGTTGGAACAGAAAGTCAGCCATGGTAGGTGCCCCAAATATTATCTAGAACTTAATCGGGAACACCTGCAGACACGCCTGGCGGATATAACCCCCCACCAGAAGGTTGTCCGTCAACTGTACTTGTAGGGTCCCCAATTAAGATTCATACCTGCGTGGGCACGGTCCGTATGCACTGTTATCTACTGTAGCAAAAGGGACGACTTGGCCCACACTCGCCCCATGTATTTGTCAAAATATTGGCCGTCGCTGATATACCCTGTATGCCCCTTGCATACTCCTCATATGTCCCGTATCGGCTGATTACCCCGTGCAGAATGGTGTAACTACCATTCCCAGTATCCTGAAAAACATGTTGTGTGGTCCCTCACGGCAGAGGACCTCCCCCCAAGTTGGGGCCAGTGTGCTTAGCAGAACTATCCCTTTGAGAGACTTAGTCAACCCTCTTTGAACAGCGGATTTGACTTGTGCCATGGTCAACACGTCCTTTTTATTTGAGGTTGGTAGAGATGGGCATGGAACCTGTTGATTTAGACAACCACGATAAGGATCCTTCCTAAGGGAAGTATAACCATGGTCAACACAATGGAAATCCTGGATTGGTAAACCCTGGTTGACTTTGATCGGGAGGAGGTGTCCCATCTAAGAGGAGCTCCCTGACTAGTGGGCGGTAAAGCGCAGCCCGCCCCTAAAAAAACGATCTGATGGTGTCAACATGGAGTTGGACACCAGGCGGCTTTGAACAACTGGGTGAAGACCCAGCTTCAGTCCACCTTCGAGCAGGCAGGGAATTCGGACCCTAGTCCTCTAGCTTTCCTTTTCAATGTCACAAAAGGCCTGGAAAAGTGCATGTTCAATAAACAACCCTCATTGTGGTGTGTTTTGTGGCTTGATGGTAGCCCTTTGAGATTGATGAGGGACTGTCCCAACCAGAAATAGCAGCAAGAAGCTCTCTCTCTCTCTCTCTTTCTCGTTAAAATCGGTTGTTACTTTGCTTACAAGTGCAAGTGCTGTAGTGTTCAAACAAACAGTCAACCAATGTAGTCTGCAGCTGCCAACCTTTTGACTCATGCGGAGTAGTAAGCTCAAGGCCTGCGGTAGTGAACATACATGCAACAAGAGTGCAAAGTGAAGCATGCAGTTTGACACGGCCCCTCAGTTAAAAGGTCTTTGTAGTACCTTTTCAACTGAAGTGCAAAACATGGATTGACAGTAGTGATGAAAACCATTGTTGTTCATCAATTCTACTGCATTGGCAAAAGTAGTGACCTGCGCTCAGTAGTTCACGCTGTTCAGGTTCCAGCTCGATGTAGGGCGCTGGACGGAAGTAGTGAAGGCAGGCACTCGTTGTAGTAGAGCAGGAGCTCAAAAATGTAGTCCCCATTTCTGGGTGCGGTAGGCTTGGACCATCTGTAGTCGACTGTCCAAGGTCGCATAGTAGTTAGTGGTGAAAAAGGTTGTCATGTAGTTTGGAGCTCCCCGTAGTCGCGCATCATCAATCTCGGGACACGACGTGTGTTGGTCGTAGTCCCGTAGAAAGCGGTGTAGTAGTGCTTTGTGGTGTTGTGTGAGGTTGGTCATTGTGAGTAGTGTGAATCCGTAGTATTGGATGCTTTTGCAGAGGATTGTAGTGATTGCTTTGTGCTGGAAGTCGTGTAGTTGGTCTCGGTTGTAAAGGTAATGGAGTAGTTCAGGTAGAAGTAGTGGCATGTGGTAATTCCAAACGTAGTTGTTCCTGAGGCTGTAGTTGTCAGTGAAGGTGGTCATGTTGTAGTTCACCTTGAAGATGGTCTGTGGCAGTGTTGTAGTCGGGAGGTAGTAGTTGTGTTGTACCGACATCATGTAGGAGATGTAGTCCCTTGTGAAGTGTAGAAATTGTCCTGAAGTGAGGTACCTCAGGAGTAGTGGTTGTTCAATCTGGAGTTGGATGATGACGTAGTTGGTGTTGTCGCCAGTTGTAGTGTGGAGTGAAGTCGTGTGGTAGTAGTGGACATTGGCTGCTTCAGGTAGTGAAATGCTGAGCAGTGTAGAATTGTAGTGTGGCATCCGAAGATCTCCAGGGATGCAGTGAATGGGTCGTGTGTAGTCCAGTTGTGCCAGTGGAGTAGCTTGTTGTTGTGAGAGTAGTTGATACTCTTCAAGTGTAAATGCAGTGAAAAATTGAGTGTAGGGAATGTTGTCGGGCAGTGGTGGTGCAGTGGTTGTCTGGTGCTCAGTGATGTGTAGTTGGTCCATCACTGTGGTCGGGTTGTAGTAGACGGTGTTGCCGGGTGTAGAATGGTTGAAGTGGTAGTTGGAGTCGTTGTAGGTTTGAGGTGGTGGAGTTCCATGGTCACTGGAGTCTGTAGTGACCGCCACCTCAGGTGTAGTCGCCCTGTCGGGCGTAGTGGCGTCTCCCATCGTAGCATCTGCAGTAGATGGAGCGGCCATGGCTGCAGTGGAATGCAAAATGTAGTGAAACGGGGCAAAACAAATGAGCCTAAGTAGTTGCTACCAGGCAGTCGGCGAATGCAGACATGTAAAACAAACAACTGTAGTGTTGACTCAAGCCGCCAAAAGTGCAAGTGAAAGTACATGTAGTTACTGTTACTTACATACCAAAAGTGTCGTGTTACATGTAGCTACTTACATACATGAAATGTCCAAAGTCGTTGTTGTTGTTGTGAAACTGCTGTGCTGGTCGTTCGTAGTGCTAGATGCGTATTCCAATGCTCTGGATGAGCCTGTGTAGTGTTTCTTTGCTGATGTATTTGGTAAACAAATCTGCGCTGTTGTGGAGTGTGTTGATCTTAAGGATTCTGATGATGTCGTGCTTGATGAGGTCTTGTGTGTAGAGGAATTTGAGGTCGATGTGTTTTGCTCGTTTGCTAGTGCCTTGTCGTGTAGCAATGCTCTTGCCTGCTGTGGAGTCTGTGTGGATGCGTAGGTTTAGCTTGCTGCAAATGTTGGTTTCAAGTAGGAAGTTTCTGAGGTGTAGTCCCTCATTAACTCCTGTGCAAATGGCGTAGAGTTCAGACTCTGCTGAGCTAAGTGCTATTGTAGCTTGTGTTCTGCTGCCAAATGCAACTGTTGTTCCTAGAAAGATGATGTTGAAACCTGAAGTTGATTTCCTGGTAGTAGGGCATCCTGCCCAGTCGGCATCGACATGAACGTCGAGATCCAGGATGTTGTTGGTGTTTGCTCTGAGTGTTGTTGTTGGTTCTATGGTGAATTTGTAGTGCTTGGTGCCGTGCAAGTAGCGTAGTAGATGTTTGACTCTCTTTTGTGAAAGTTCTGTAGGTGCTGTGAGGTCTCGTGCTAGTTCTTTTGTGGAGTATGCAATGTCTGGTCGTGTGTATGCTAACCATTGAAGTTTGCCAACAATTCTTCTGTACCTTTTGTGTTGTTCGTGGTCAAGTAGTGCTTCATCTTCTATTGTTGGTTTGTAGTGTGCAATTCCTGGAGTGTTTACTGAGTTGCAGTTGTTCATTCCAGACTCCTCGGTCATGTTGTCGATGTAGGAGTCCTTTAGTCCAAGATTGCAGTAGTTGCCGAAGTGGTCGATGTTTCTTCCAAGAAATTGTTGTGGTTTGCCAGGTTCGAGGTAGCCGATGTGCTTGAGTAGTACCTGCTTCTGGACGGCCTCGAAAGTGGAGTCGACTGCGGTCTTGTCTCCAAGTACTAGTAGATCGTCCACGTAGACCATGATGTAGCAGTCGCGAGTCGCATTGGTGTAGACGTTGGGTTCTGACTTTAGTCTTACAAAGCTGAGCTTTTGTAGAACTTCAGCCAGGTAGTCCTGCCATGCTTTCAGTGAACTGCGTAGTCCACACATGGCTTTCTTTAGTCGCCAGATTTTGTCCTGTTGTGGACAAAGTTCTTTAGGTGGCCAAAGGTAGACGTCACGTTGTTTACCGTCGTGGTCTTTTGCGATGGGTGCGTGTAGAAATGCTGTAGAGACGTCACCTAGTCGCGCGATCCAGTTTGGTCGTGACATTTGTAGTGCGAGAAGTGTCCGGAGTGTCGTGAACATTGGTGTAGAAGCGTAGACGGAGTCTTCGTCCTCAATCTTCTCGGTGTAGCCTTTTGCGACGATTCGGCTTCGTACTCCTTCTTTCTGTGTACCCATCTTGTAGGTATCGCTTCTCTGATGACGTTGTCGTTGACGGTAGACGCATCTACTTCGTCGTAGACGTCGTGTAGTTTCATTTGGTTTGACTCGTGTTTCATTCCTTCCAGTAGTTGTGTTTCGTCGTAACCTTCGTTGTCGAAGATTATGGGTTGGTCTTCTGAGGTGTCGTCGTTTGTGTAGGGAGTGATGGATTTTCCGTTGGGAAGTGTCACTGCGTTGATTTTCTGTCGTAGTGGTGGTGGTTCTTTGGTTGCTTGCTCCGTTGATCTGATTGTAGTGTCCTTTGAGGTCTTCTGTGCTTTAGTTGGTTGCATTACTTCTTCCGGAGTTAAACGTCGTAGTGTTTGTCGAGGTGGTGCTGGTAGTGGTGGATGTTGTCGTCCAGTTGGTGAAGTAGCCATAGGACTATCCGGTAGTGGTCGTGAACTTGACGTCGATGTGGACGGAAGTCGTGGAGGTGGTGTAGTGCGTTGTTGTTTTGTTGCGGGTTCCGCAACGATGTCGTCCGTAGCGTTCGTTTGTTGTCCGAAATCTTGCGTGGACCTTCTTTTCTCTGACGGTTGTAGTTGCGTATCCAACAGTGTTGCGAACGATGGGTTGTAGGTGTTCCGTCGTGGTGCCCATGGTGTGCCGGAAACTTTGTTCAACAGTGCGAGGTCGTATTTGAAGTCCGGTTGTAGTCTCCGTACTGTTCGTACCTTTTGTACGCCTGATTCCGTTGCGACGTAGTTTTCTCCGGTTTCGGAAACTTTTCCGAGCCAGATGCATTTCTGCATCCGTAGGTCTGCTTTTGGAAGTTTCTTGTGTTGTGGTGGAAGGTAAAGTAGTGTCTCGCCAAATTCGCAGATTGCTCGCTCGTAGTTTCTTCCCCAGCGGCGTTCAAAGCTTGTGTAGCCGTCTGAGTGAATGACGTAGCGATTTACCGTCCATGCTGCATGTCGTACTATCCAAGGTAGTAGACAGTGCTTTGTGGACATCGTCATGCTGTAGTTGCTTTCAACCTGAGCTTTGACGACGCGGATTTGTCCGAGAAGTGTTCTATGTAGTCGCTCAACGCTTCCTTGACTGTTGCTGCTGTAGGAAGGTGAATGTCGTACACTCATTGTGCCGACTTTTGCTGCTGTAGCTTTTAGAAGTGCGTTGAGTGTGTCTTCGTTGTCGCTTTGTAGTATGCCTTGTGTTCTTCCGCACTCAAAGATGAATGCTTGTAGGTTGTTGACCATGTAGTCCATCATTGATGATTTGTCTGGAACCAATACTGCCATACACAGTTGTGTAGTAACATCAACTGCTGTCAGTACCGGTGTGGTCTTTGGGTCTTGTTGTGACTTGATGTAGGCAAAGTCTACTTGAATGACAGGTTGTCGTGATTGTTGTTTCTTGTAGTTGTCTTGGCGTCCTTTGCCTTGAACGCAAATTGGACACCAGTTTCTGTATGGTAGATGTGTAAGGTTGTGTTCTGCTATTTGTTGTGGAGTGGGCTGCTGTGGTTGTCGTAGTCCTCTTGCTCTGTGTGCTTCATGATGCTCGTGTTGTTGTTCTTCATCGTGGTTCTCCTGGATGTACTCGTAGTCTTTCTTCACGGTAAACCTTGTTGTTCCTTTCCATTGAAATGGTAGTGCTGCGTTGCCCATGACTGTCCAGTCATCTTTGCGTTGTGAAACTTCTCCAA